GATGCGCATCTTGCTGGCTCAGCAGACGGCGCGCATCCAGCAGGGCGCGTAGGCAGTGACCACGACGACTACCACAGGGGGGGGTCGCCGCTGCATCTAGCCGGGTGCTAGGATCTATCGGCGGCGACCTCCGATGAGTTTTGAGTTTCCACGGAAGCTCGGCCGCAGCCCGTCTGGCGAGCGATTTCTCTGTTCCGGCAGGCCAGGATGGCCGGTGAGTTTTGCATTGAGTTTTGACCAGCTATTACCGTTGACTTTTGGGGTCAGATCTATTTTCATTCGAAAAAATCATAGCACAAATAGATCTAGGGACCCCGCGCCCACCGTTGAGTTTTACCGTTGAGCACCGTTGAACCGTGGAGTTTTGACCACGCAAGAAAACTGACCTTCGGAGAGGCTGCGAGGGCCCCAAACTAACCTCAGTGGTACTCGGTAGTACCGTTGACCACCCTTGAGTTTTGGGCATCTAGAGATCGCTCGACGCGAGCCTCCAGATGATGTGCGGGGGGGGCCGCTCATCTGCTGCTCGTGCTGGGTTTCGAGTTTCGTGTGCCGCTCGTCCAGCAAGTAACTGGGCGTCGCACGTCGCACGGGCGCGCGCTAGAAGTTTTCGGCGCTGCGCAGCCGACGGTCAGCGCAGCCGACTGCCAGCTCGCAAGCTCGATCCGCCCAGGGTCGAGGAGGGGGGGGGGGGGGGGGGGGGGGGCGGGGGGGGGGGGGGGATGAGGAGGAGGAGGGGGGGGAGGGGGAGGAGGAGGAGGAGGAGGAGGAGGAGGAGGAGGAGGAGGAGGGAGGAGGGGGAGGAGGAGGATGAGGATGGGGATAAGGACGAGGAGGATGAGGAGGAGGAGGAGGATGGGGGGGAAGGAGGAGGATGAGGCTGATGATGAGGGGGATGTGGAACCCCAACCCATGTTACACGGACGCAGGGACACGACGATGAGCAGGCGACGAGCATGAATGGCACGGTGGAGGGGCGCGGCTGGTGGATGGCGATGACGAGGCTGATGGGGGCGGTGCAACGGAAGAAGGGGGGTGGATGCGGAGGGCGACGAGTAGGCGCATGGATTGGGCGTGGAGGGAGAGGAATCTGATGAGGACATGGACGGGAAGGTTGAGCTGAGGAATATGATGAGGATGGCGAGGATGATGGCGGCGGCGGCGGCGGCGGTGGCGGCGGGGGGGGGATGGTCGACAGCGCGTGCTACAAGGGAGCATAGGCGGTCCGCTGTCGTAGTCCGTCCTGGGGCGCAGGCCTGCGGCGGCGTGGGGCGGGCGCTCGCCAGTGACAGTCTCCCTCCAGCTTGCCATCTCCCTCCCTCTTGCCATCTCCCCCCTCTCCCCCCCCTCCTTCCCCCCCTCTCTCCATCTCTTGGCATCTCCCTCCCTTGTCCGCGCCGCCCCCCTCCATCCACGCTCCGCGCCCGTAGCTGTGATCGAATGGCCAGCCTGGTCATGGAACCCCAGTTCATCTCGAATCGTTCTGGCCCGAATGAGTTAGCCCGACATCTGCGCCATTGCGCGCGCCCCTGTTCTGGCGGGGGCTGGCCGCGGCCCACGTCGACCAAACGTCGGCGAACGGGGCCCGCAGTGTGCGCAGATGACTTTATCCCATCGTACTTGCAGGGTGAATGGTTTGAACAGAAGCAATCACACCGTGAAGGAGGATCTCGGATGATGCAACACCTCCAGGACCGTCGGATCCGCCCCCCGCCCCCCCCGCCCCCCCCCCTCCTCCTCCTCCTCCTCTTCCTCCTCCTCCTCCTCCTGCTCGTCTTCCTCCACCTCCTCCTCCTCCGCCTCGTCCTCATTTCTCCTCCCCCCCCCCCCCCCCCCCCCCCCCCCCCCTCCTCCCCCCCCCCCCTCCTCCCCCTCCTCCTCCTCCTCCTCCTCCTCCTCAGTGTACCCGGACGTTGCTATTTGTACAGCAATGCATGGGGGTGCGCGAGCGCGCCTGCACGCGCGCGCGCGTCAGCGCGCCTGCGCGAGAGCGCACGCGCGCCTATTCGCGCAGGTCATCACGCGCAGCGCCGCGCGCGCATGCATACACATACACACATACACACAATGCCCGCATGTGTACCATATCCCTGCTGCAGGCTGAATTTGCGCCGTGCGCGCTGGCGGCGCAAGACTTCGCAGTGGCGCGTTGTTGGGCGGATCAGGCAGGCGTCGCGGGGGCCGGTTTCCAGAAGTTCGGGGTCGCCCCTGGTTTACCGTCGGGCAGATGCCAAGCTCGCCTCGATTTAAAATTCAGATACTCTGAATTGTACGGCTACCTCTCTGTCCCGCGCAGCTCCAGACGGACTGCAGCCAGCGAGCCGATTAAGTTGCAAGTTGCGCTGGCGTTTGAATCGCTGTTCGAGGAAGTGCGAGGTGACCCGAGTATACTGGACAGAGTCTCGACTTCGCAATGGCCACGCGTGTACTCTGAGCACCCGTGCGTTGTCCAATGTAGAGCATCTGGTAAATCTCCACTCTTAACTCTTGCGTTGTGCTGCCGCTGTCGCGCGCCCGCACCCCAATGCCAGCCCATCCAGAAGCGATCGCGCGCAGAAAGCCACCCGAGACCCTTAGAGGCCCCACAGGAAACCTTTAGAGGCCACGCACATAATATACGATCGCAAACTTGATATACAATAATTTGACGCGCGATCGTCATCCCCGACCGCGCGGGTTGCACGCGGCTTCATGGCTGGGGTGGGCCCACGTGGGCCCAGCGGATGCACGGACGGAGTCCGATGCAATTCAATACTGGGAAGTGCTACCGACAGTGTTGTGGGATTCTGGCTAGTGAACATGGTGACGTTCAAGCGTCACCTCATCGCTCCGATGCGGTGTGCCAGAATGTGTAGGTGTGGGTGCAGGGGGTGGTGCAGCCTGCATACTATTCTATCGTATGTCAAATGGGTCCTCGAGGCCTTCCAATCTGGTGCGCGCCCCACGACGATGTACGACGGGTCACCATGCCTGGCTGTCCTGGAGAATCGTCGAGCACTGTTTGGGGGCAGTTGTGGGTTCTCTGCGTGTGTATGTTGGTTGAAGGGTGACTGGAGTGATGTAAACGAGACCCACGGGCTCTCGAATGTTAGCGCCCAGCACTCACCGCGTCCATCCTGCAAGACTGAGCAGAACTCCATGCGCGCGCACTACAGGTCTATGTCTGCAATTAACATGGCGTGGGAACCAGGAAGGTCAGGGGGGGACTTTGCTTACTGTCAGAGCCGCGAGGTGCTAGCCAACGTTTCTTCGGAAGCCGCGCGTCTCACATTAATGGCACTCGTGAAATATCGCAAGGGTGGGAAAAGTTGGGGGCCCACCGTGCCTCGTGATTGTGTTGAGCTACAGCTTTGTAGCGGAGACGTTCTCGTGCCATCGCCTGTTTTGTCCATCGCGCATCATCTCAATTCGCAGGCCTTGCCATTCGCTGCAACCTTCCGGCGGTTTGAATACGGCGAAAGTGGCTCGGGGTGCGGGGTGGCTGCGCGCAAGAATCCCATCTTCTGTCGCGAGTTGGGATTGGAACCGACTCTGTATTGTGCTACCGATACGCTTCGCACATTATGCTATGGGCCAGTCCAGCGATACGCAGCCGCTACCCTGTGGCGGAATATCTATTCTAAAGCAAACGGCATGAGGGGGCGGCGGCATGAAAACTTAGAGTCGTGTGTTAAACATATTCGTAGACGATGAGGGGAATGGTACGATGCTAGACAGCAGCCCCACACTGAACGGGTATATGATCTCACCCTGAGTATGCTTGGACGATATTGGGGACGACGTACACCACGGACGCCCTATGTAATTCAAAGCACACGAAACGATGATCATTATGTTTTTTTGCGATCGAGTTACTACACGAAACTCCGAATGTCCCACGCAAGCGAGAGTTGTTGCGGGCGGGTTCATGCACGCGCTCAAGAGGGAGGGGGTTGTCGTGCCAGGTGAAAAGCTCCAATATTTGTTCGGTGACACGCAGGCCCATTTGTTATTTTCGGAGAGCGCCGAGATACACTTCGTGCCGGAGCATGATTTTTCGGCCCACCTGGTGTCCAGGACCCCTTGGGATAAACGCGCCCCACGCCCGCAACGAAGCACGGTCGCGTCGTGACCCCATGCAGACTGGCCCACGCCATTGCAACCCTCACCCCTTCCCATCACCCCCGCCCTCGCCTCCTGGATCCCAGCAGGGGGCGCGCGCCTTCGGTGGCGAAGTCGCTGTTGTCGGGGTCGGCCTGCGGGCGCCCACCGCTTTTATCCTTCCTCTTCCTCCTGCGCAACCATCTCGTCTGCACCCCCCCCGCCGCCCTTCCGCGTCCGCCCCCCCTTCCCCCCCCCCCCCCCTTACCACCCCTATTTCCATTCGTAGCGGCATGCCTCCCAGACGCGGGCTGGGGGAAACGAACGGCGACATCCAGATTCGATGTGGGGGGGGGGGGGGGGCGTCGGGCGCCAGATATGGCGGTAGCTGACGCGCGCAGAGGCGCGGAACCACGAAGTGGTGAAGATGAAACAAATACGGAGGATGATGGGATGACCTCGATGAGCACGACCGCATGGGTGGAGGGAGACGGGGGCATATAGCAATGATGATGGCACGACATGCGACCGTCTGTGAAGATGTCTCGAGCGGGATGCCCCGATACGTCAGCGTCAGCTGGCACTGTTTCCGACGCCCCCAAGGATTCAATGGGGGGGGCCCTCGTTGTTACGCGCGTTATCTCGACGAGAGTCTTAACATTTTGTTGCGGGGCGCTGCGGCGAGAGCTTATCGGCAGAGATTCAAATGCCGCATTTTCCAGCTTTTCTCACTCGTCGGTAAACTTGGGCCCAATAGGTTCATCTACCCAACTGGTGGCCACTGAACGTCAGATGTGCGTTTGATGGCGCCAAAGAGCAGCTCTAGCCTTGACGCCCCTAGCAGCGACGATGAGCCGCTTGTTCGCGGGGGGCCCGCTCCGAGGGATGCACCATATTGGGTTCCAAGCCGAGCTGGTGCTATGGCGGCAGCTGGCTTCCGTCTGACAGAACCCTCTGCGTTGATCCCGCTAGCGGTTGACCGGGCGACGTTGTGTCTCACAATGGAGAAGGATCGCGCAGCGTGGGCTGCGCATGGCTATGGCGATGAGTACACGCCTCAGATTCACTTGGCAATGGTCTTCTCACGCAGAGACGGTGCAGCAGACATGGCTCGGTCATTAGGGTACAATGCCGTCACCTTCGACATCGCGGACGGCAGCTGGTCGGACGCTGCTGCCATCGGCGGCCTGATGAATCTCGTCCACATCACCATGCAGATGCGGTCTGGTGGGCTCGTGTGGATGTCGCTGCCGCATGTCGACAGCAGCGTTGAGTTTGAGCACGTCGTGTGCTACATCGCGTTCCTCGCCCGCATGCGCCGCGCGTATGTCGCCATATCTGCACCGCTCAGGTCGCAGATGCTCCAGGTGCACCACCGCAGCTAAACAGTCCTGGGGTAAACCCGAACATTGTGGCGCGAGCGACGCCGTGGAAGTCAATGCAAGTCAACGCTCTCTGTGAGATGCGCTGGTGTTCGTTGACGTCCGCGGTTTGTGAGTGCTGCAATGTACGCACGTCTGCATCGCCACCTCATAACGAGGCGTTCTTGAGGGGGTGCTGATCTAACGCTGACGGGAATGACCATATATGGGGATGTGTCGGATGATGCTGAGGGTGATGATGGGGATGAGGAGGGTGCCAACGATGATGATGATGATGATGCCACTGATCACGATGACGGGAGGGGCGATGGTGCGCATGATGAGGATGATGTTGAGACGGCGCGCGACGATGCAGCCGTTGGGGGGAGACGGATGGCGTGCGCAATGATGACCCCGCCCAGGAAGGCCAGTCCCATGTGACTTAAATTCGAATCACAATCAGTCCGTCACTACCCAGACCCCCGCGGGGTCGATACCGATTGGAGGGGCGTACAACGGCCACGCGGGGTGCAAACGTGTCTCGGGTTTCGAACCAGTTGCGTCCCAGGTCGGACACGTCATGGTCATGTTCGTGACGCTGGGGCTGCAACGCTACGTCACGTCCCTGGGCGCGTTCGGCGGTGCCGAGGGCGCCGGCCATTTGGAGACCTATGCGAACGCACCCGCCGCGAATGTGACCGACGTCCTCGCGCGCAGGTCCCATCGCGAGAAGGGAGCTTCCAGCTGCTCACCCGCGCCGCCATCGTTTCATCGCCCCGAATTTTTCAATTAGGCGATCGTCGCACTGATGGGAGTGATCTGAACTGCCAATGCGTTCCCTAGCTGGTATTGCGTGTGTACATGTGCTTTAGCATGTGCGAGTATAGACTACGGTAACGAGGGGGGCTGAATGGCAGGGGGATACCTTCTCAGCGCTGTCATGTAAGCCGCTGGCACTAAAGTCTGGCGGATGGGGGCGTGCGCCCGCGCGCGTCACCTTCGGTACGCGGCGGTCGACCGATCTCGCTCATCATATCGATGTCATCCTGGCCCACCGCGGTGTCACGTGCAGCCCTAGCTCTGTTGTTGTCAGTATGCTCACCGTCGTGGCCCCTTGAGGGACCATCGGCTTGCTGATGAAGCCCCCCCCCCCCCCGGACAAAAAACTCAACGGTGTTCAATGGTGGCCAACGCCTCCCGTTGACTTTCGATCGCAGCCCACGTGGCTGTGTCCGAAACCCGACAATCCACCGTATACGCGGTGACATTGGCAACCATGCAGTTGCCAGTGTGATGGCGTGGTACGGCGTGGGCGGATGGATGCAACGCGTGAACATACATACGTATTCGACGATGGGGGGTGGCCAGGATGCGGAAACGGATGATGATGATATGTGGGATGCTGAAGATGATGGGACGGCGAATGAACGGGATGATGGCGATGATGAGAGGGTGGATGATGTTGCCGCGGATGACGGGGGCGAGACGGTCTGGTGAGGGAAGAAACATAAGGATCTGAAAATGCTAAGGATGATGAGGCGATGGTGAAACTGATGATGGGATGAGGAAGATGATGACGAAGATGAGGATGCGGGTGATGGTGGTGATGGAGGTGAGCATGATGATGGGTATGATGATTATGATGATGTTGATGATGATGGCGATGATGATGATGCTGAGGAGGACAAGGGGGTGATGCTGAGGAGGAAACGGGAGTAGGGAGGAACGAAGATGGATGATGGATACGGATGACGCGTATGAGGAGGGTGATCATGCGGATGGTGAGGAGGAGGGAGGATATGTATATGATGACGGGAATGGGGGACTGGATGAGGATGATAAGGATGCTGTGCATGACGAGGAAGATTGCGATGACTATGATGAGGAGAAGAAGGGAATGCGGGGGAGCTGGATGTGATACGGAGGATGAGGATGATGATGCGGATGATGATGTGGATGATAGGGGGATGATGAGGATGGGGGCGCTGAGGCGGAGGAGGATGAGGAGGAGGATGGATGACGGGGAAATCGACGGTGAGGCTGATGATGATGCGGCGGGGGGGGGGGGGGCTGGCCTGTCGTCTGCGTCGGCGCAGGCGTCGGTCCAGGCGTCGGAGCAGGCGTCGGATTGCCGACGGGGGGGGGGGGGGGGGGGGGGGGGGGCGGCGGCGGCAGCGCCAACAAAGCACGCGCATAACAAATCTAGTGACGTGATGGATGGGTTTTGCGTTGCCCTTTAGTGGGGTTGCTAATCTAGGTGCGTCGGGGGCGTGGGCGGGCAGGTGGGGCAGGTTCGCGAAGGGGTGGTTGTCTGCCATCGGGGGGGGGGGGGGGGGGCGAACGTGTGCGCCGTTTGAATTGGGGGGCGGTGTGTTGCCAACTAAATGGCGATGCCAATGACTGCACCGCCGTCTGCCCTTCTCGCTCGCCCCCACGCCCGCTCGCGCTGCGCCCCGTCGCGCATGCCCCGCCACAGTTTCTGACCGATCAGCTCTAACTATGCGCGCTTCCAACCGACCCCGCATCTCCCCCCCGCCGTTCAGAGCCGCGCGTGGCGGCGCGCTGGTCGACGACGCCGCGAGGGAGGGTAACGGTAGAGAAGGCAGGAGCGCGCGAGGATAATGATACGGCGGCGGTGGAGACCGCGCATGACGAGGGCGGGCGCCGCCGCGGTGATCTAGAGCACGCCGAAGAGGACGACGGGGGCGAGGCGGGCGAGGAGGATGCGGAGGAAGAGGACGACGAGGACACGGACGAGGACAAACGACTCACGGATCCGACGTCGGGCGCCGTCTGGGGCCAACAGTCGGACAGCGACGACGACAACGATGAGACCCCCCCCCTGGGATGGACACGAGGGCGCGCTCGCCAAATTGGGCCGATCGATTGCTGAAGTTGAGCGTCGCGCTGCTCTGTGTCGCATCGAGGATCGAACCGCGGGGGTGCGAAATGCGCGCATAGATCTCCTGTTGAGGAGGCCAATGATGAGGATGAGTAGGAGGAGGAGGAGGAGGAGGAGGATGAGTACGAGGAGGATGTGGAGGAGGAGGAGGAGGAAGAGGAGGAGTCGTTCCTTCCCGAGGAGAGGCGCGCCCAATAGGCGAATGTCAATGCGCGTGAGATCGAGCGGGCTAGGTGTGATCACTAGAAGCGGTTTCATTTAATGCGACACATCCTATCGAATACGATTGCGGCGACACCGCCGCCCACTGATGAGGGGGCGCGGAAGATGAGGAGGAAGGGGGGGAGGAGGAGGATCAGAATGATGAGAAGTAGGGATGATGATGACGCGGATAAGGATGGGCAGGAGGATGAGGCGGAAGAGGAGGAGGAGGAGGAGAAGGAGGGGGAGACGGAAGATGACCAGTCGCTGAACGAGGCTGCGGCCGCTCGGGCTTTGCCGGGCCAAGCTTGTCGTAGGCCGGGGGATCGCCGCCTGGCCCCGGCCCTGTCCGAGGGGCCACGCCACGCCGTGTGCGTGGGGAACTTCATCGCGCTGTCCCACCGTCTTCGAGAGGTTCGGGCCGCGGCGCCAGCTGTCGAGGCGGAGCTGGAGCTCGGGGCTTCGTCTCTCCCCGCACACCTGGTGGAGGCGTCGGTGGGGGGTGGCGCGCTGGGCCGGCACTTCGAGTCTGATCGCCCGGTGATCGGGCTGGCAGTTCGTTTGCGGTGGCGCCTCCGCCCGGCCGTCGGCGAGCCCCTCGCGAACGGCTGGTGCAGCGGCTACACCATGATGAAGGGGGTCTCCCACTTCGCGTCGCGGGCGCTGATCCGCCGCGAGCTGCTGGGCTGCCTGAACTCCGTGTACGCTTCTGTGGGCGAGGGCACTCGGGAGCGACGGCGTCTGCCGCCTGCGGTGGGACGGGGGCTTCGCTGTTGCCGCGCCTTCCTACCGCTGCGCTACCGCGACGCGGGGCGCCCGCTCTCGCCGATGGTTTCTTGCGTGGAAGCCTCGTGGTGGGGCGCCGGTGTTACTGAGAAGTCCCTCTCCCTTTCTCAAGTCCATCGTCTATCGCTCTTCAACGAGAGGTGGCGCTTCTCGAGATGGTGGGCGGCAGATCGCCCCCCGGGACCAGGCCGTCGCCCAGGTGAGCAAGCAGGCCAGCTCGACTACCTCGACCTTCTCGAAACAGTCCTCATCGCATCCTACAGCCATTGCCTCAGGCCTGGAGCAGCAGATCCCGTTCCGGTTCGAGAGCGCCCAGGACCAGGAGGAGGCGGGCGAGGCATCGTTCGAGGAGGTGCCGAAGGAGGTGTGGGCGGACGGGTGGCACCGTGCATTGCCGCCACCGTGGAGTCGGAAGGGGTCGCAGGTGGCACTAGAGGTTCGGGCTATCATCCTGCGTCTGAAACGCCGCCTTCGAGCCCTTCGAAACTTCGGCACTGCACGCGTTATCCTGAACGACTCGATGGCTCCGTTGCTGGCTTTGCTCATGAAAGGGCCGGTCCCCATCCCCACCATTGTTGGGGATCTGCCGCCAAACCTGTGCGTCGCTTCTGGCCTCGGACTGTTCGGCCGCGCGGCGCCGGCCCCCGTCCGAGCACAGCAGCGTGGACCAGGCCTCCCGCGACCAGGCTGGCGACGTTCCTGAGGCTGTTCGTGGTGGCGCCGTGCCGGGTCTGGCGGGCCACGGCAGCGCCTCTGTCCCTGGCGAGCCCGGGGCTTCGTGGCCAGCGGCCCCCCGCCGCGGCCAGCGCGCAAGCGCCCGGCCGCTGCCGCGCTGCGGCCGGCGGCGGCGGCCCACGGGACCTCTGGCCCCGGCTCTGCGGCCCCCGCGGCCGAGAGCGACCGACGGGCGGTCCGCCGCCCCGGCAGGGCCGAGTGGTTCGGCTCGCTGCCGAGCTCGGCCCCCCGCCAGGGCTTGACCTTCCTGGAGGAGCAGTCGGTGTCGGAGGCCGCGCGGATCGACTACGAGCGCCGCCGCCAGGCCTTCAGCCAGTGGGCGGCCCAGAGGGGCATCAACATCGCGACGCCCCCGGAGGCGGACGATGCGCTGGCGCGGTTCTTCCGCGAGGGTTCCTGGACGGGGGCGAGAGCAGCGACGCTTGGAAGCTGATGGCGGCCCTGGCCTTCGCGAGGCCCGACCTGGCCACGCGGCAGGGGCGGCTCCCCCGCGCGGGGCGAGCCGCGAAGGGCTGGGCTCGCCTTGCCCCAGCCCGATCGCGCCTGCCCCTGCCGTGGCCGGTGGTCTGCCTGGTCATCGAGGCGATGCGCGGCCGGGGGCCCCTGGCCTTCGCCTGGATCACGGCGGCGACCTTCGCCCTGTATCTGCGGCCTCGCGAGGCCTGGGACCTGGTGCAGTCGCAGCTGATCCCGCCGGGCTTCGCGACGGCCACCAGCGTGCACTCGCGGTGCGTCGTGCTCCTCCTGGTCGACTCAGCGTGCTTCCCGCGGATGCCAAGCCTCGTCGCCGAGCTGCGCCGCAGGACGCCGGCCGGGCATCGCCTGTTCCCAGTGACTTACGCCCAGTGGAACTGCCACTTCAAGGCCGTCGTCAGCAGCCTCGGCCTCAACGCCCTGGGCAACTTTAGCCTGCACCAGCTCCGGCACGGAGGAGACAGCCACGAGCTGTACGCATCGGCGCGGCCCCTGAAGGACATCCAGAAGCGCGGCCGCTGGGCCACAGACGCCGCGCTGCGCAGGTACGCGAAGGCAGGGCGCGTGCAGGAGCAGCTCCACCGGCTGCCGCCCGGGCCCCACCC